ATTAAAAAGATCAGGAAAATTAACAATATGCTGTGAAGATATGAAAACCTAATTATGGAAACATTTATTCTAATAAATCATACATAGAAGTTCATAAAGAATGTAAAGATATTAATAAAATAATAGAACCAAATAAGCAGGTAAACCTGATTTCAAATGAATATGAATTTAGGATATCAACAGATAAACCTGAAATAATAGAATCAAGAGAAGAGGAATACCCTGATAATAAAATAATATTTAAAGATGAAAAATTAATTAGGAGATCAAAAAGTCTTAGAATACCTAATAAAAAATCATTAGAAGAAACCAGTCACACAAGAGAAATAAAACTTCATAAAAATACAGGAAATATGAAAATAAATGGAGAATATTTTAATGGAAGAAAATATATATCAGGATCAAATATATTAATAGATACAGGAGCTAGTGAATGTCATATAACTTCAATAAAAAATAAGGGATTAGTACCTCATAAAACTGAAACATATAGATATGTAAATTTTGATGGACAAATGCATACTACGGAATTAGAAGTAAAAATACTTATAAAAATAGGAGGAATTGATCTTATAGTACCATGTTATATAGATGATAGCATAAATATAAACCCTCATATATTATTAGGGATGAGTTTTTTAAATGGATTTGAAGATTACAGTATAAAAAGAGAAGGGTTATATATATATATATAATGGACAAAATATATTATGTAACAAAGAATTAAATGAATAATCAAATAAGTTTTTCATTAGCTGTATATATACAAGTTACTATTATAGAATCAGATATAACAACTTGTGATTTGATAGATACAGGAAGTGATATAACTATATTTAAAAATTTCTAAATAAAATCATGGGATAATAAAAGTAAAATAAAAAAAATAAAAGTAATAGGAGAAGATACTCAACTAATAAATAGTGCAGAAAAAATAAGTATAATACTTGGAAGTAAACAAATAATAATAAATAAGATATATAGTTATGATAAGTTAGAATGTGATATATTATTAGAAAATAATTTTATACAACAGTTCCAATATTATAAACAAAACAATTATATGATAATGTTACAAACCCCTTGTGGAAATTTATTAAAAATACCAAGAGAATTTAGACCTTACAGAGTTCAGCCAACTCAGCGTGGTGATAGATGGGAGAAAAAACCAATTATGCATAATGAGATAAAAAACAAAAGATTAATGTATAAAAAAAATCCTAAAAACTGAAGTCGAAATAAGTATAGAAAGAATTATAGAACAATTAGCAAAAAGTTTATGGACAAAATCCATTAATATTTTGGAAACCATACCATCCTAGAGCAAAGATAGAATTAACAGAAAATGTAATTATAAGAGTTAGACCAATGATGTACACCATACAAGATACACAAAAATTCAAAGTTCAAATAATAGAATTATTAGAACAAAAACTTATCAGAACAAGTAATGTACCCCATAGTAGTCCAATCTTTATGGTAATGAAACATTTTGAACAAGTTAGAGGAAAAGTCAGAATTGTGATAAACTACAAAGAATTAAATAAATATACTAGATTTGATTGATACTTTTTACCAAACAAAGAATTCCTTATAAATCTTGTAAAAGGAAAACAATACTACTCTAAATTTGATTGTAAATTAGGATTTTGATAGATAAAGATGAAAGAAGATAGTATACAATATACAACTTTTAGTACACCTCAAGGCAAATGCGAATGGTTAGTAATGCCTTTTGAATTAAAGAATGCACCTCAAATTTATCAGAGAAAAATGGATAATATATTTTAAAAATTTAATAAATTTCTAATAGTATATGTTGATGATATATTAATATATCCTAATAATAAAGAAGAACTTAGAAATCATTTAATACAATTCATAAATGAATGTAAAAAAAGAATGAATTATTCTTTCTAAAAAGAAAGTTATTATAGAAAAACAAGAAATTGATTTCTTTAGATTAACTATAGATAAAAAAGGAATAAAATTACAAAATCATATATCTAAAAAGATAGATAGTTTTTCAAATAAATTAGAATTTAAAGAACAAATACAAACGTTATTAGGATGTCTAAATTATGCAGAAGGATTTATTCGAAATCTTTCAAAAAAGAGACATAAAATACAAATTTTACTTAGAAAAATAAATTCTAAAGGATAGAATGATGAACACACAGAAATTGTTAAATCATTAAAAGAAGAATGTAAAAATCTACCAAAATTAAGATTACCGATGAAAAAGATAATTTAGTTGTTAATACAGATGCCTCAGATAAATATTGGGTAGCCATATTAAAAATAAATTTAAATGAAATTTGCAGATATTCAAGTGGAACCTTTAATCAAGCAGAAACAAAGTATATCACTCATGAAAAATAATTACTTGCAATAATTAGAGGAATAAAAAAGTTTTCATTATTTCTATTATCTAAAAAATTCATTGTTGAAACTGATAATTCCCAAGTTACAAGATTAGTCAAAAATAAATTATCAATGGAGCCTCAATATAGGAGATTACACAGATGGCAAGTATACTTACCATTTTATAATTTTGAAATAATTCATATTAAAGGAGTTAACAATTTTTTTACAGATTTCTTGAGCAGAATTATTGAATTTGCAGATGGATAATATCAAAAAGATACTAGATGATATCAAATCCATGGCTATTTATGCCAAGGAAGAAGTTGAAGATATCAAAATTGGGATGGAAATGATGAACGAAATTTTACAACATAATGTAAAAATTATGATGGAAATAAGTTCATCACATAACAAGTTACTAATGATATTATTGATAGAATTGGAGTTATTGAAGCCCAATTAAAATCACTGGATATCAAAGATACTATTGGATATGAACATGATTATATCAAACAGGTACAAACTCGGAGTGATCTACCAAGCGGAAACAACAGTGGACCAAAAAAGGATGTTATTATTCAAAATCCTAAAAAGATTACCAGTAATGAAGGATATGCCAAATCCATCAGGATACAACCAGATGAAGATGATGAAGTCATTTTGTCACCAAAAGAAGAAGAATATAAAATGTTTACCAAAATCATCTATAAATTACAAACAAGTGATTCATATTTTAATTCACTAGGAGATCACATCTATCCAAGAAGAATAATGATGAAAGATTATGAGCCAACCATGGTAAAAATGGAAGCCGACTATGGATACTTAGATTTAATATATCCAGAAAAAAAAATCTTAAAGAAATTGAAAGATTTGATGATATATTTAAATCAGAAGTATCCAGATATGTCCAAGGAAGATTCATTTATCTAAAATTTTATATTATCAGCCCAGAATTCGATGGTGGAATATTTTATCTGGCAGAACATATTATAACAGTTGGATATGTTGGAAGGAACTTCTCCATGGATATTGGAGAAATTGACAAACCATTACCAAAATTTACCAAAGCATGGATCAAGAATCGTAGAGTTCTTAGATATAAAGTTTTCTATAATATGGCTAAAAATCTTTATGAAAAGAAATTTAGATGTTTATGTCAATATCGAGGATTGACCTTAATTGCTAATGATGGAAAGCAAAAATCTGAAGTTCTCAAAGACTTTATCAATAAATTTGATACTCATCAAATGCTCGGAAAGATCTCAACCTTACAACGTGCATGTGTCAGCAAAAGTCTGAAATCCTCAGAGACTGTATCAACAAATTTGATACCCATCAAATACCAGGAGGCATCTCAACCATACAACGTGCATGTGAAGCAAGAGATTGCCTCACCTGCCAACAAAATAAATAAAGAGATTCCAAAGAGATAAGGAGGATGGGACCAAAAGAAGACAGCTGCATATAAAAACAATCTCTTAAAGAAGATGTAATGTCAAGAAGATTATAATGGAGGGGTCGGGAGGCTCTTAATAGGAAAAAGCATAAATTATTGTGTTATATGATGTATGAAATAAGGTAAGAGACTAATAATTTTTGCCTCAAATACTTGTATAAATAGAGGCCTTTGGGCTAGAGAAAAGGCCAAACGAATTTGAGCACTCAACTTGGAAGAAAGCCAAAGATCTTCTGCTAAATCTTGTATCAATTTTCCAAATATATCAATACTACCAATTTGGATAAAATCATTCACATTCCAATCTTCTTAAATAGAAATGAGTTTCTAAACTACATTTCCAATAGATTCTTAAGCGATTAAGGAAGAAAATTTTCTTTCGTACTTTAACAAAAAGAGAGTTTTCTTTATTTAGGATCTGTAATTTTAATTCTTGGAAAAGATACAGTGAGAGTATAAGTTGGAATAGAAATGATCCCATGAAGGCAGGAAGCCATTGAAGGAAATAGTTTGCAGATTCAGGAGCTTGAAGGTTACTCGGTTCTGAGAATAAAAGTCAAAGATCAAAACTAAGGTAAAACTATTGTTTTTGTTAAATTTGGTAAGAATTCTTCTAAGATCTTAAAGAATCGTTTCTTCTAAGATCTTAAAGAATCAAATGGATTATTCATTTCAATGATTATGTTTAAGATTATTCATGATGTTTAAACTGTTATTGTTTCATTATGTTTAGAATGTCAGGATATACAGTGAAACGATTAGATAATTTGTTAGAAAGAGTGTTAGAAAAAATAAAAAGTATTAGATTCCAACTAGAAAATAGAAATATACCATCTGAAGAATATAAAAACCATATAGCAAAATATAAACAAAAAATTACAGATTATGCTAATCTATTAGATCAAATGTTGAATTTGTTTATTAGAATCCAAATGTTGAATTTGTTTATTAGAATCCAAAATATAAGAAATATAATATACTAATCTTTAAAATTATTCATAAAAAAAGGATATATCTTGCAATAAATGAGAATCCATTTCACTAAGGTGATATAGACCGCCAATTGACTAGGCTAATTAAAATAATGCCCCATCTCTCGTCTAACTCTCATCATTATCCAAGATATTTCGATACATATACGTACATAAAAATTGAATTTTTTGTTTAATTGAGGTTATCTGGTTTTCTGAATTGCGGAAACGATGTCGTTGAGACCGAACGCGAGCACGGAGTGAGGCGGAGCAAGTACAAGGTGGCGGTGGACGCGGAGGAGGGGCGGAGGAGGAGGGAGGACAACATGGTAGAGATCCGGAAGAACTGAAGGGAGGAGAGCTTGCTGAAGAAGCGTCGTGAAGGCCTTCAAGCACAACAGTTTCAGCCCATCGTCAAGATCCCTCAACAGGTGGACAAGAATGTGAAAACATGACTACGATTGATTCTTCTGCTTTTTTGCATACGGTAGAGTTTTGATCTACTGCATTTTTATGAGATTTTGTTTCACTGTTATAGTGGACTGTTGAACATGAAATTAGTACTAGCTTATAGTTGAATTTCGAATTTGTCTTGGGAGGTTAATGTTTTCATTGATTATACTTGTAGATTGCGATATACAGTTCATTTTAATTCATGAAGAAATGTGAGATGAGAATAGTTTGATTTGATTCGCCTTTGCTCTAGATGGATTTTCATTTTTCAATGTTTCAGTTAGAAAGTCTTCAGGAAATGATTGCTGGCGTTTGCTCAAATGACGGCACACTGCAACTCGACCCCACAACTCCTTTCAATAATTAATTATCTTTGTTGATTCTATTTATTTTGAAATGGGTCTTTTTAATGTTTATTGTTAGTTTTTTCTTTCAGCTGATTCTATTTGCGTTTTAATTTTTTTGTTGCCACAGAATGAAATCCACCAATTGAGGAAGTAATACAGTCAGGAGTTGTTCCTTGATTTGTTGAGTTTCTTGCAAGAGATGATTGCCTGCAGCTTCAGGTATAAATTTTGCTAATAATTTTTTATTTCTGTGTTTCAACTGCTAAATATTTTTTGGATCATGCATTGGGTTATTCCTTTTTTCTACTTTGAGGCAACTTGGGCTCTTACAAACATTGCATCTGATAACACCAGGGTCGTGGTTGATCATGGTGCAGTTCCCATTTTTGCGAGACTTCTTTGTTCCCCTAGCGACGATGTTCGCGAACAGGTAGATATTGTAAATAAATAATTGCACTCCAGCTTTAAATTTTACTTTCCGGCTGTTTTTGTCTTTATGTTCCTCAACTTTACGTAGGCAGTTTGGGCATTTCCACATTAGGAAATGTTGCGGCGACTCACCAAAATGCAGTGATCTTGTCCTTAGTTATGGAAAGTTAAAAGGGAGTATACAATGACATATGTGACTCTATCATTTATTAATTTAAAATACAGTCAATTTTTTCATCCAATATTACATCATTTAATGTAATATTTTATGCATCATTTTTATGTACAAGTAGCATAATTCATTCTATTATTACTTTTCTCTTTGGTTGTATATCCATACCAATGTTATAAAAATTGGACCAGATCGACAGGCTCAGCCAAAAAAATCAGGAATCGACCTCAAATCCAATTCGATTATAAAATATTAACCAAAAATAGAAAAATCGATGATAAACCGGCTAGTTTAACCGTGAATTGAAAAACCATTTCCAATTTTTGACGGTTCAGAATTTTATTTTATTTTCCTTCCAAGTGCTATACCATTTTATAGAGACTCCTTTTCCATTGTTTTCATTAATCTTCCAACGTGGGATAAGATTTGTAGCCAATTTTAAATATTTAATACTTTACTCGTTATATCCATTAACAAATCATAGCCACAACAAAACTATAATCAAAATTAATTATATTTTAAATAAATCAATTATTTTGAACATATTAATTGTTAGTTTTTAAAGTTTTAAAATAAATTAAGATAATAAATTTAATTAACAAACATGAATTTTTATTTACTTTGAATTAGTAAATTAAAACTAAAAAATTTATTGTTATTATTATTATTATTATTATTATTATTATTATTGTTGGTGGTGGTGGTGGTGGTGTTGTTACAATATTTTTTAGTTTACGTGCTTATATATTTATTCAATTTTAGCATTCAGTTCGACCCTTCAACCCTTGATCATTTTTCTTTTATGGGTCGATACTCAGGTTGGTTTTAACCACACATTTCATGAGATCTACACTAAGCCCCCATTTGGTATGGATCAAAATTCAATTAAAATCTCAAGTCAAAGTAAACATTTAATTTTAACCACACATTTCATGAGATCCACAACTTTTCAACCATACAATTCATCAACTTTTATCAAAATCTACTAAAAATTTGATTTTAATCTCTACCAAACAGGAGCTAATACTCTCATGAGCATCTTTAGAAAGTGAAGTTGGCTGCCATCTAAATAAAACTCTAATAAGATTACTATCATCGAAGGATGTAAGCAGTGTTATCTTTTTAACAAACCCAATTCTCTTCAAAGTTTTTCAGGTTATTATGGAGAATGTGGCTCTTCATTGTCTGCTTAACTAATTGTTGAACAGTAATTGTTGATTTCCTTTGTTTTCATTTAATTTTTTTAAGGCATATTGGTCACACTAATGGAGTAGATTAGACAACTTAATGAATAAGATTTTGTACTTTTTTCTCCATTCTACTATGTTAGATCTCTATTTGTTATTGGCTTTATCCGTGTCCAAAATCTAGGTTAGTTGAGTTATAATTAAGTTGTAAGTAAAATCAAAATAATTGGGGTTTGTAGTATAGGTCTTGAAGGAGTATAAGATGTCCTAGAAGATCACATATCAATAAGATGCAATTAGAAGTCTAAGGAATGTTAAAGAGGTGCACAAGTCATGCTGCAAAATCTCAATTACATGTTACGACGCATTTTTCACATAGAAAACGTTTGAAACGGAAAAATGTTATTTCTAGAAGAATTGTAACAATTTAAGTTATTTTTCCAAAACACTTAGAGTTACCTCAATCTTATATCGAGAGAGAAAGCTACGATGAAAATATTGATGATTGCTCAGCTAGCGCTCCCTTGGTGCTAGTTTGGCACTGGAACGACGGCTCGACGATATAGAATTCTGTTTTGGTTTTAATACTAATTTTAATAATATTACACCCCAAACACTACCTATTATATAAACCAACGCCTAGTTCATTCCAGAAGTGTGTTGAATCATTATTTTACATTAGAGATCATCTTGTGTAGATCCAAAACACAAACCATTGATTCCTTGATTCAACCTCAAGATCTTTGATTCATATATACATCCCAAACATATTGAGCCCCATTTTTAGAGAAGAATGCATTTTGAAATAATAAATTGGTGGAGAATGTGTGGTTAAAAAATAAGGAAATGTTTTGAATTTGCGTATAATATTATTTTAATGAAAAATATGTGGTTTAAAAGAAGAAAGACAAAAATATATTTTGAAAAGAATAATGCTATGTGTACATTTGTGGTGTACACAATGCATTATACCCTCCTCACATGGAGGGAGGCTCACAAATATTTTATTGTGTGTGGGCCCCCCTCCATGTGAGGGGGGTGTAATGCATTGTGTACACATAGCACAACCCTTTTGAAAATAATATGAATCAAACAAGGACATTGTTTTGTTAGTTGCTCCATAAAACTCTATATTTAACTCTAAGATCAAAACACATAAATCATTGATCAAACCAAAACACCCTTACCTTCACATTAGCCTTAAGAATTTTGAAGTTGGAGAAGAGGCAATAGGAGTTTTAACTAAAAGCAAAATTCAAAAGATAAATGTTTGGTCGGTGGCCTTTGAATACTTTAACTAAATTCAACGACAACTAATGGTGGTTGGGTGTTAACTTTTCTTTTTCTATACATTTTTTAAGTTAAAGAATGAGGTTTTTGTATAAATTTTACTTTTTAGTATGTTAATTAAAGGCTATTTTGTGCAATACCTCTTATCATTTGGGGTTCCTGTTGTATTGATACTTATCAATCCTGATATTGTTAAACAATATTTTAACCTTTGGCTGTGAAATCATTTTTCAATCTACGACAATTTATTTGACGGTTAAAAAGTCAATATTTCGATCTTTAATTTTAATTATAGAAGAAAAATGCAAAACCAATACCAAAAAAAAAAAACCTCATTCTATTTCCTTTCTTAGTTTTCTTGGTCAAAATATTAAATTTTTAATTGTCAAATAAACAGCAACGAACAAAAATAGTGATTTTTACAGTAAAAGGTCGAAAAGTCATTAAGAATGTGAAGATTGCAACAATAGTTACCAATATCACAGGGATCTCAAACGATAGGGGTCATTGCGAAAGAGAAGTTAATTAAACGGATTTCATTAATAAAGAACTATGGTGTATGTTGAGAATGTGGATTCTAAAAGAAATGGAATGAACACCTATTTGCTATCAAGTGTATAGGATATGGACTAAAGCTGTAATTTTCCCCCATCATAATTTGGTTGTTTGATATGACACAACACGGTTTCTCGTTGAATCAAGAGCCCTGCAACTTCAAGATTCCCCGCATTAGTGTATTGTCTTGGAAATTTAGCAAAATAAAGGTAAAATTCTTGAAAAGTTGGGAAGGAAACATGCCAACCATGCAACTTCAAGATTCCCTGAATACGCGTTAAAGTATTTTCTTGGAAATTTAACAAAATAAAGGTAAAATTCTTAAAAAGTTGGGAAGGAAACACGCAAATTTCCCATTAAAAAAATTACTAGATTAAACTGAAGCAAAGCATGCAATTTCAAAGAACGATCAAACCATTCATGAGATACATTAAACATGAAAAACCAATTCATGAAACATATAAATATTAGTTGAATAACAGAGACAAAAAGTAGAAAAAAAAAAAAAAAAACTAGGCAAATAGTCAAATAGAGAGAGAAAAAAAGTATTTTTGAAAAAAAAAAACACAATATCCAATCACTATCTGCCACACCACCATGTCATTGTCCATGTCTAAAGAGCATTATTCTTCTTCAAATCCGTAGACATCCAAATACTTTTGTGAGGGTAGATTCTTATTTTTGAGTTTGTTAGATCACCAACATCCCTTTCATTGGACTTGTCATAGGATTGAAGATTCTACAGCATAAACATTTCTAACTAAACACAAAATCTAAAACAAATGAGGTCACCGTGGTAAGAAAATGATAGATGTGATACTTTCACTAGATTTTCACTCAATATGTAAGGCATGTTTGATAAAAAAAAATTGAGAATAAATTTTGTGAATTTTTTTTTTTTTTAGAATGTACGATTAAAAAGGATTTTGATATTTCGCCATGTACAAGCAATGGTATGGGACAATTCGCTTTGTACAAGTAGCATTATTCGGTTAAAAATAGGAAAATTACGAATTAAGAACGAAGGATTGATGCATTTTTAAACTTTAATATTTTCTCATAAATGTTGCTCTATAAAAAATAATAAGTTAAAATTAATAGTGATGCTTGTAAACTGAACAGCGCCACGTAAATTGTGATGTTGGTTGATGACTATGCAAATAAAAATAAATAAATGGAATGAGGACTACATTGTAACTGCTTGTACAGATTGAAGACGAAAGGTGCAATTTTCTCCATTAATTTCATAACTGGCCAGCAATGCCAGCTATGCTGATGAAAATTTAACATTTTTTTTTTTATAGTCAATGAGTTAACTTTTCATAGTTTTCTTTTCCCAATGAAATTAATTTAACATTATTTTGAGGCCCATTATAAAATATTATATTTTATTAGGACAACTTTAGAAATCGTTCATTTGTAGTCCAATATGCGTTTTTCATATTATAAATGGACATGCAAGTCTACGAGCACATCAATTAGAAAAAGATTAAACGGGTGGGCCCCTTGTTATCCGTACCCACCCGGGCGAAGTCTCCCGACCCGAATACCCGATTGAGTGGGTAATCTTCGCGAATATCGAGTTTGACGGGCTTTTTTGTCATTCCTAATTAAATTGAGAGGATAAACTTACGTGATAGGAAATCCAATAAATAACTATATAGCTTAAGTTGAAGAGAAGTCCAAAATGAAGTAGAAATTTCATTTCCTCCTTATTTTCTTCTTCCATAAATTAGTGAAATAAGTTTGAATAAATGAATTTACTTTATTAACAGATATCAATAATTCACTAAACTTTCAAGTTACGTTTAGTGCATCCAATTAGATCGTATAAGAAATATAATTAAAAATTATAATAAAATAAATGGTATTATGATGGATTAAAATGTATATTATACATCAAAT